CTTATTTTTTATTAATTTCCTGAACCCATTTTCTTTAAATAGTTTTATACATTTCCTAAAACCATTTACTTCTCTTATTTTTTATTAATTTCCTGAACCCATTTTCTTTAAAAAGTTTTTATTCATTTCCTGAACCCATTTACTTTTCTTATTTTTTATTAATTTCCTGAACCCATTTTCTTTAAAAAGTTTTTATTCATTTCCTGAACCCATTTACTTTTCTTATTTTTTATTAATTTCCNGGATGGGATGAGAGGAAGGGTAGGGAGGATGGGAGAAGGTGTAGGGGAAGGTTAGAAGACTATTTTATTATCTAGAGCTTGAACATTGGTTGATGTAATCTTAGGAAATAGAATCATTAGAATTCTCCTTCACAAAAACCTGGAAAAATACCAATGGTTAATCTTTCAAGAAAATTTACATAAAAACCTAAAATATTTGTTATTCTATCAATTATTCTGAACAGTTGAAAGTGGTCCTCAAAATAAAATTGGAATTGTATAAACGAGAATCCGCTCGTAAAGCTATATAAACCTTCATTATGAATACATATTTTCGTACACCATGCATATCATTTCATTTTTAAATTTAGTTATATCTAATCTATAATCTCAGTTTTATTTTTGTATTTGAAAAAAAATCAGATACAGATAAAAAAATGGATCCCTCATGTTTGTTCATTACAAAATTTACCAATTAAATATGATAATTCGACCTCCTTAGAAATTACATGGAATTCTTTGAAAGGAAGATAAAATAATAAATTCTTTAGTTTGAATCCTGGAACTCAAATCTGATGGTGCTATTAAACTTATTAAAGCTTGAATTGGCCAACTGCACAAATTTAGATGGAGACTTGGATAATTTATTCTAACTCTTTCACCAGTTCTTCCAGATTCTATAGCTCCAGTATCCTCCAGCTTCTATAGCTCCAGTATCCTCCAGCTTCTATAGCTCCAGTATCCTCCAGCTTCTATATTTCTAGTATCCTCCAGCTTATATAGTTCCAGTATCCTTCAAATTGTATAGTTCAAGTATCCTCCAGCTTGTATAGTTAAAGTATCCTCCAGCTTGTATAGCTCCAGTATCTTCCAGCTTGTATAGCTCCAGTATACTCGAGCTTGTATAGCTCCAGTATCTTCCAGCTTGCATAGCTCCAGTATCCTCTAGCTTGTATAGTTCCAGTATCTTCCAGCTTGTATAGTTCCAGTATCTTCCAGCTTGTATAGTTCCAGTATCCTCCAGCCTGTATAGTTTCAGTATCTGTCTGTAGAGTGTAGACATGAAGAGAAGATATATATTGAAGGAGAACTGTCTGTAGAGTGTAGACATGAAGAGAAGAAATATATTGAAGGAGAACTGTCTGTAGAGTGTAGACATGAAGAGAAGAAATATATTGAAGAAGAACTGTCTAGTGTCTATAGAGTGTAGACATGAAAAGAAGAAATATATTGAAGGAGAACTGTCTGTAGAGTGTAGACATGAAGAGAAGAAATATATTGAAGAAGAACTGTCTGCAGAGTGTAGACATGAAGAGAAGATATATATTGAAGGAGAACTGTCAAAACTTTCAAGCTCATATTAAATCTGTCTGTTCCTGAAAGGGAGTGGTCGCAAATTTTAAAAGTGGGGAAATTATGATTATGAGTCTTTCCAATTTTGATTCACAGTAAAAGCACCATGCATAATAATAGAGTTATCTTCCATTTTATGTTTTCTGGATTTATTCCTGATCAACCCTGTCTGTAACATTACATTCTCTTTAACCAATATTTCAATATTTTAGAATTCTTTCAGATCACAATTTTAGTATTTAAAGAGCATTAACAAAATTCTCCAACCTTTTTTAACTGAACTCTCTGAACTTTTTCTTTTTGTATAAACATAAATTTTTATTAAATATTAATTTTAATTTAATTAGAACTATTGATCTTATTTGCAACAGACAAGCAAGCATTATTGAACTGCATTAAAATATCTCGCAAAAAAATGTCCGATCGGTTTAGCCATTTTGACGTTTATAAGATCCAAACAAAGAGACAAGCTGCTGGTATACAAATTAATGTATTGTTTGTAAATATAAAGGGGAGAGAGAGGTTTAATTTTGTTTTTGAAGTTACAACTTGAAGGTATAGAAAAAGTAAAACTCATGATTGTTCTATGTTTATATTAACTGTATAGAAAAGTAAGCATTCGTGAGAAGTTTTATTTTCCAACTAATTTCACAATAAAGCTCTTTTCAGTTCCAGTACACAACTTTCAATACTTTACCAAGAGAGTACAGGGTATTATTAAGATACATTCATGTACTAAAAATGGGTCCCATTTTCTTTAAAAAATAGAAATCGAGTCGTTGTCACAATCTCAAATTTTCTAATCCCTACATACTGATGGTGTAAACCTTTGATACTTCAAATTTAGATTATTTGATCCAACAGAATTCATAGTTTAAAATGCAGAGGGCTGTTTACGAAATTGCGTTGCGAAGATATAGGGATAAAAAATCAGAGTTTGTGATATACATAGACTTAATTCCTTTTTCTTGAACTGTGAATCATAAACCATAAAAAAAAGATTTGATTCCTCTGAAAAAAGTACTTTTTAAAAAAAATACAACTTTTAAAAACTTAGACTACACGCCAAATAAGTAAAATTATTCTTGAGGAATAATTGGAACACTAATTCAAACAACTGCGGAGAAACTTAGTTAAGAATTAAGATTATGTTTCAAGTAAAGTTTAATGTTCATTTCCATCTTATAAGGAGGAGGGGGGATATTCAACATTTAGAGAATTGGCCTGATTCACAACGGTACCCTTTAGTCCTTTGTAACAAGGAAGATAAAGTAGTTTTCCTGTTTTGAATTTTTCTAAATTTCCGTCCTTTTCTCTGCTGCATAAAACCGCATTATTTTAGATCTAATCGATGAAAACAGGGCCCACTTGCAACTATTTAAAAAGACTCTGTCGTCATTGATTTGGGTTGCTCCGGGTGCAATTTGATAAAGTTAATTGAAGGGATGTGACCTTCATTTAAGGAGGGACATGTCCGATTCCCAACCCAAGGTCTCCCTTCAAACCTTTGTCTGATACTTGATGTGGAAGACAAGCGTGGATTTTTAGCGTGAAACGTTGTAACTTTGGTAATTCCTTCGTTGTTTTCTTGCAGCAGAAATACGGAAGTTAGTTTTGTTGAGAAACCAAAATTGTAAATAATTAGCTTTTATTTCTATCCTGGTCAGACAAAGGTTTAAGGGGTACGAGGGTGTATCGTACATGCCTCTGGTAACGAATTTGGTCTGTTAATGTTCCGCACACTACAGACCCTGAGACCAATATTTAGTTTTCAAGAACTGACTCTTTATAAAGTTGAAGGAAAGGAGAAGTTACAATAAACTTTAAATTTTCAGCTTACGGCCAAATTGAGGATAAACTTTCTTTACATTTTAACACAAGAATTGATGTGAAGCTTCATACTAGAAGTAAAAATATCTATCTATCTTTACTACAAAACCTTTCAACAGATTAAAGTTGATAAAAATAGATTAAAGTTGATAAAAAATACATTAAAGTTGATAGAAAATAGATTAAAGTTGATGAAAAATAATTTAAAGTTGATAAAAAATAGATTAAATTTGATAAAAAATAGATTAAAGTTGAAAAAACAAGTTTAAAGTTGATAATAATACATTAAAGTTGATATAAAATAGATTTAATTTGAGAAAAAATAGATTAAAGTTGAAAAAACTAGTTCAAAGTTGATAAAACTAGTTCAAAGTTGATAAAAAATAGATTAAAGTTGATAAAAAATAGATTAAAGTTGATAAAAAATAGATTAAAGTTGATAAAAAATATTCCAAAACTAACGATTTCGTTCAGCTTATTTTGAAGTTTTGAGACATAAACAAGCAGAAATGAAAGGAATGAGATTTTCCAAAAACTCAAAATTTCTAAGCCTTGTATCCTTGCAACCTGATAATGTAAACCGTTACTATTTCAACTAAGACTTTTTGATCCAACATAATTTATTGTTTGAAATATTAAAGGTCTGCGACATCCAGTTTCAAAGATAAAAAGGAATTATAAAATCAGAGTTTGTTGCAAAAACTCAATTCCTTTGGAGGAGAACATAAAACAAAATGAAAGGGACTATTAATGTATTTTGAAGTGACCTCACATTTAAAAAAGAGGGGTATGTCAGCTTCACAAGGGTACCCTTTTTCTGACTAATAAAGTGAAGATATCGTTGATTTTCTTGCATGAAAAGTGTTAAAGGAACTGAGTTTTAGCCACAAATTCTGATTTTCAAATCACTATATCTTTGCAAACTGATGTGTTTACCTTTGATATTTCAAACTATCATTATTTGATCTAAAATAATTCATAGTTTGAAATATTTAAGGTCTCCGACATTGAAATGCAAAGATATAGGGATAAGAAAATCAAAGTTAGTGACAAAAACTCAATTCCTTTAATCCATTTTCTCACATTGTTTCCACAGTAAGAAATCAGTCACTTTTAAAGAGAAAACCACTATTTGAACAAATGGAGTTGTAAAAATAAAAGCAGAATCAATAATTATTTTTGCTTAAAAGGTTCAAAGGGTACCATTGTGTATCGAACATTCAACTCTATATATGGAGAATTGTATATTTGTATTGCATATGCCGTGGATAAATTTTTAAAAAATCTCTATATTTGATTCAAAGTAGGAAATACTTAATCCTTCATTTGGCTGACAGTGACATCATTATTATTTTTAGAATTCTATTATTGAATATAAAACTAATAATTTAAAGAAAAGAATATAATGATTTTTGAAAAAAAGATTTTTTTCAAAACTTACTCGTTTTTGCATAGAAACCTAATGAATATTTTCTTGTATAGAACCTAGTGATTTTTGGATACCTAAATATTTTTATATGGACATTTAGTGATTTTAATAGAAACCTACTGATTTTAATATAGAAACTTGGTGATCCCAACATATAGATTTAAATATTCAATAAAATTAAATTTAATTGGTTTTAACCGATCCTTTAAGATACACTATTTATTCGATTTATTTACAAACTACATTAAAATAGAGAAAAAGTGTACATCTGCTTGGCACCTCGCTCAGTTCTCCCTGGCTCCTAAAAAAAAGTGAAATGTTTTCCCGTTGCACTTTAACCAGTAAAGAAAATGAAATTATTGATAACAAAATAACACCATGCTTGAGATGCAAATTAAAAACAGCTAACTAAAAATTAGCTTACCTAACTTAATGCCAATATTCTGCGGTCACGTCATCTCCTCAAAATCCCAAATGAGTTTCCAAATTTACTCAACAAAAAACTAGAAAATGAAGGTAGTCTCTCTGTTGTTGTTAATACAGGAGTTGAAGTTATTACAGGTAATGCTGTTGTTAATGCAGGAGTTGAAGTTATTACTGGTAATGCTGTTGTTAATACAGGAGTTGAAGATGTTACTGGTAATGCTGTTGTTAATACAGGAGTTGAAGTTGTTACTGGTAATTCTGTTGTTAATACAGGTGTTGAAGTTGTTACTGGTAATGCTGTTGTTAATACAGTTGTTGAAGTTGTTACTGGTAATGCTGTTGTAGACACCACACTTTGAATGAGTTGTTGAATTGTTGAATCTGAATTTGCTTCATTAAAGCTAAAAGGTAATGTTGACTCTGAAGATATTGGAAGCCTTCTAGAGGCAAAATTGGAGAAATCAGAGAAAACTGTGTTAATCCTACTGTTACTGATACTATTGCTATTTAATCCTTGTGTGAAGTTGTTAACTGTTGAATTGAGGTTGTTTGCGGCAGCAATTCTGAGTGAGTTTTGATTTTCAGTCAGTTTGTTTTGATCTTCTATAGCATTCAAGAGAAGCTCAGAAAAATATAAATTTGATTCATTTTCATCAGTTGCTGGTGGTTGGTTAATTGGGATATTGCCTTGCACTGGACGTTGAACATTGTCATTTTCTGGCATATCATCTAAATCATTAGCCTTTATTAGTGGTTCTTCTGTAACACCAATCTGAATTGATTCAGTGACTGTTATTTGTTCACCATTTTCAAATCCCACAGTTGACTCCATGTTGTCCAAAGTTGTAGCTATTGTTGTATCAAAGAATTCATCAGGAAGAAAAAGAACTGGGATAAGTGCATCAAAGAGAGATATTTTTTCATCAAGAAGCATCACTTTTTGGGTAGAAGTGAAAGATCTTACAGTTGTTGATTTAGGTAATGAACTATTTATCGGGAGGGGAGGTTGTACAACTGTTTTATTTGTATATAGGTTTTCCAAAGCTGAGGTAGGTGGATCCACCGTAAAACTCAGATCAGGAAGAAGTTCTTCAATATTAGGAGTTGTTTCTCTTCTATCTCTTTGAGTAGTAGTAACTCCTTCTTGTAAGGTAGAATTTATATTCAATAGTAAATCAACTATATCAATATTTGAAGTAAAATCAGGAATCAGGTTTTCTTCTGTAGAAGGGACAACTGAAATAAGGACTTTAGAAGGCTTATTTACTGTGTTTGTTGAAATCTTCATATTTTCTTCTGAATCAATATCTATGGCTAGATCAGGGATAAGATTTTCTATAGCATTATTAGTTGTGGCTAGAACTTCAATTTGATTTTCGGATCCAGTTCCAGAAAGGACTTCTGCAGTGTTGTTTACTGAGCTAGTTGGGATCTTCATAATTTCTCCTATGTCAATATCTAAGGCTAGATCAGGAATAAGATCTTCTTTAGCAGGAGTAGCTGTGGCTAGAACTTCAATTTGGTTTTCTGTTTTAATTTCATCTAAAATATCAACATCTAAGATTAAATCAGGAATCAGGGTATTTTCAGTAGAAGAGACTATATCTATTGCCAAATCAGGAATTAGATTATCTTCATTATCCGGTGTGGTTAATATTTCAGAGAGGTTAACTATCATGGTTCCACTGTTTCTTTCAGTTGTGGCATAAATATCATTATCATTGACTTGATTATCTTTCTCATCTATCAATGTTTGAATCACATTAGAAAATTCAGGATCTGATTCAAACCCGTCTATGGTTGTTGGCACCCCACTATTTTCAATATCAATATCTACTGCTAGACCAGGAATAAGATTATCTTCTTTGGCAAATGCAGCTGTGGATGAAACTCCTGATGGTGTAATGGTATTAAGACTTATTTTTTCAGTAGAGCTGATTTTGTTGATCAGATTGTCTTCCTTCTCAAAAATTATCTGAATCCCATTTACAAATTCAGGATCTGATTCAAAGCCATCTGTTGTTGTTTTTAAATCTTTATCTTCTAATTCTTTGTTTAAGGTCAGATTTGGATTATTATCAAAAAATCCAGGCAAAAGATTGTTTATTTTAGTCTGGTTACTTTTCTCTTCCAGGAGTATTTGAATCCCACCAGCAAAGTCTGGATTTGACTCAAATCCATCTGTTGTTGTTTGGAATTCTCCTATATCCATATTTAAGGCTAGGTCAGAGACATGACTATCTTCTGTAGTAGTTGCATCTGTGTTTAATATTTCCAACGGATTTATTACCAAAGTAAACATATCTGTAGAGGTGTTGATCTGATCATTTTTCTCATCCAACAACGTTTGAATCACATCAGAAAAGTCAGGATCTACCTCTAATCCATCTGTTGTTGTTTGAAAATTTACATCCTCTAAGGCTAGATCAGGAATTAAAGTATCTTTTTCAATATTTCTTGCTGTAGTTAGATCTTCTACTCCAGTAGCTAAAATGTTCCTTTCTGTAGAAGATATCCTGTCTTTTGTTGTTGAAAATTCCATATCAACAATGCCTATTGCCAAATCAGGAATAAGATTATCTTCTTCAATGTTTACTGGCAAGGTTAAGACTTCTGATGGATTCAAAGTCATAGTGACCCTGTTTTGTTCAGTAGAGGTATCAATGGTAATATTGATCTGATTTTGTTCTTCTAAAATTGTCTGAAGAACATCTGATAAGCTAAGGTATGATTCAAACCCATTAGTTGTTGTTAGAAATCCCATATTATCGATGTCAGTGCCTAAAACTAAATCAGGGTTTAAACCTGCACCTTCAGTATTTAAAGTGTTTCTTGTCGTAGTTGAATTTATCAAGACTAGATCAGTTTGATTATTTATCTCATCCAGTATCGTTTGAATGCCTTTAGAAAATTCAATGTATGATTCAAACCCATCTGTTGTTGTGGGAATTGGTGATTCACTTGTCAAAGAAGAAAATGTTGTTGTACTCATACTAGCTACAGAGTCATTTTCTATATCAGAGATTTTGTTTTCCTTTTCTATTTCTTCAAGTACTTTCTGGAGAATATTTTCAAATTCAGAATAAGATTCAAACCCATCTGATGACTCCAAGGTTGTATTAGTTTTTGATGAGGAATCAGGAATCTCATTATCAACTCTATTTATAATAGGTTCTAAACCAATAGAAAGTTCAGGAATCAAGTCTTTATCTCTTATTGAATTGGTAAACCCATTGAGAGGAGTCATGTCAAGGCTTGAAATTGTTTTTGGTTTGTCTGAAGTCACAGCAAGCTCTGGAATGAGGTCTCCATCTTTATCAGAGAAGATTTTAATTTCTGTATTTAGATTTGCTGTAAATGCTTGATCATCATTTAGCAAAGTCTGTAGTGATGATGTCCTAATATTATCATCAAAGAGTTTACTGTCTAATGCTAAATCTGGGATTGAATTACCCAAATCCAATATTGAGGTTACTGCTCCTGCTTCTGGTTCTGAGATAATTGTAGTGGTAGTTAACATAGATTCTGGAGCTTGTGTGTTTAGCATGTTGCTCATTGTGCTTTCTGCAGAAGTTCCTGTTAAAAGGGAACTACTTGAAATTTCAGGTAATAATGTTGTTGAATCAAAGTTTCTATCATTTGTTAATGTTTCGTTCCTATTTAGTGCATTGAGTATTGCTAAAAGGGAGTTTGCAAATTCAAAGTCTGATTCAAAGCCATCCAGGGCGTTCAAATCTTCAGCTAAAATTGTTGTTGGAAAATTTGTAGTGGTAGAGGTGTCTATATCATTATTACCTGTGGAAACAGGTTCTCTGTTAGAATCTAAATCTACTTCAAGCTTGGGTTTAAGATTGTCTAATGAACTTGTAGTTTGGGTTTTAGGTCTTTCAGATGATGATATAGCTTCCTTATTAAAGTCAATGTCTATTTCAAGTTCAGGGATAAGAATATTTTTGAAAGTTGTTGATCTGATTGTATCAACATTTACTTCGTTAAAGTCTATTTCCGTATCTGGTTCAAGATGTACAGTTGATGATTCTGATGTTTGATTGACAGGTAATTTAGATGTTGACATTGATTCTTCATTCAAATCAATGTCTACTCCTAGCTCAGGGACAAGAATATTGTTGTTAGGTTTGAAGGTTGTTGAAACAATTATAGCAGTAGGTTCTTGGTTATCGCTTAAATCTATTTCGAGCTCTGGTTCAAGATAATCTGACAAATTTGTAGTTCCAAGATCAGGAACTAGAATATCATTGTTTGAGATAGTAGCAATATTTTCCTCTTTAATGGTTAAGTCTATTTCTAGTTCTGGTTCAAGATATATAGTTGAGCTAGCAGTAAATAATTCTGTTTGGGTAGCAGGTTTTTTAGAGGTTGAAATAAATTCTTCATTTAAATCAATGTCAATTCCAAGTTCAGGGATAAGCATATCATTGTTAGAGTTGGAGGTTGTTGATCTCAATGTAACTGCATGTTCTTGGTTATCACTTAAATTTATTTCAAGTTCTGGTTCAAGATATACTGTTGAACTTGTTGTAGATGATTCTGTTGTTTGTTCAGAAGGCAATACAGACATTGGCAAAGGGACTTCATTTACTTCAATGTTTATTCCAAGTTCAGGGACAAAATTATCATCATTAGAGTTGGTAGTTGTTGATCTAATTGCAGTAATATTTTCTAGGTTGAAGTTTAATTCTATCTCAAGTTCGTTTGAACTTGTACTTGTTGACTTTGTAGTTTTTATAACAGGAACTTTAGACGAAGGCATTGATTCTTCATCAAAATCTATGTTCATTCCAAGTTCAGGGATCAAAATCTCATCCTTACTGCTGGAAATTTCTGGAATTTTAGTGGTTAACAAACTTACTCTATTAAGATCTAAATCTATTCCAAGTTCAGGAACAAGAAAATCCTCATTAAGGTTAGTACTTGATTCTATAAACGCTGTTGTACCTTTATTTGTAGTTGATTCAACCATAGATGTTGATCTTACAGTTGGGAGAAAAAGGGGGGGTAAGTTGGTTTCTGGGAAAACAAAGTCAGTATTATTTGATACAGTTGAGCCTACGTTTCCAAAGACTGTTACATTAAATATAGATGGTGGAGTGACTACCAAGGATTCTGTTGCTGACTCCACAGGTAACATATTTGAAGTCATTCCTGAGAAACTAAATGTTGTTATTGGTATTGTTAAAGTTGATTGTAGGGTAGTTGTAGATGGTACTTGTGAGGTTGGCAGAAAAAGAGGAGGAAGATTTGCTGTTGAAAAGCTAAGCATACTTTGGGTTGTGTCTTGGCTTGTTTCCTTTTCAGTTAAGCCTAGAGGTTTTGCTGTGGAAGAGGTTTCATCTGTGAATATATTCTCCTGTTTATCATTGAAATCTTCTAAATCTAAAGTAAAATCTGGAATCAAATCTTCAACTATAGTTGTAGAACTTTTGACTGCACTTGATTGTGTGGATGATGTTTTAAAGGTTTGAGCAGTGTCAAATATGTCTACAGACAGCTCAGGAGTTAAGAATTCATCATTTAGTGGTTTAAAAGTTGTTTCCAAGTTTGACCCTGAAGAGTTAGGCATAAACGTAGCTGGAGAAGCATCTGATGGAACGGTTGTAGTTGTGAGGTTTGAAATGTTTGTTCCTAAAAGTTCAGATGTTGTTGAGACAGGAAAAGTAGTAAAATTTAAAATTGCCTGATCGTTCAGTTCTTTCAAAATGGCCAGGAGAGCATTGGCAAATGCAAGATCGGGTTCAAAGCCATCTATGGGAATTCTAGATGTTGTGGATTCTTCAGTGGTGGAAAAGTTCAAGGCAAGACTGGTAGTTGTGGGAATTTCAGTTGTTGGTTTAAATTCGTCCAAGTTATCAAGATCAATCCCAAGCTCTGGTTCTAAAGGTTCAGGTGAAAAATTTATAGCAGTTGATTCTGTAGGCTTGCTGGTGGTAAAGAAGTCTGTGATTGTCAAACTTTCAGTTGCATTTTGTGTAGATTGTGTAGATACTTGTAGTATGGGGGTTAATGTTTTATTCAAAAGAAAAAGGGGAGGTAGGGTTGTCTCTATAAAAACTATCTCTGAAGATGTTGATGATGTTGTTGATCCCGCAGAACTTATTAAGGTTGGAAGTGGAGTCTTTTGTGTAAAGTTATAAAAACCTGGCAATGGTGGAATAACTGTTGAACTAAATATAATGGACTGATTTACTTCAGGTTTAGGTGAACTTGTGGGTTGGAATGATGTTGGAATAAAAAGTGGAGGGAGATCATCATCAATGAAAATGATGGAATCTTCTGTTTCCAATTCTAAAGGTACAGATGTTACCATAATGGTACTTTGCTGAGTAGAAGATGTTCCTGTTGATAATTTAGGTGCATCTGATAATGGTTTTAAAGATACTGGAGTTCCTTGTGTTGAATTCTCAGTTGGTTCTGATATTGTAGGTTTACTGCTGGTCACATTTAGAGGTTCAAATGAAAATGCTTGTTCTTGGGTCAAAGCATCCCCAGTGTCTGCTTCCATTGAAAGGTCTGTAACTGTTATTGGAGTTACGGCTTCTGAACTTGATGTAACTTCAGATGGGCCAGGGAATGTACTAGACATTTGTATAATGTCATCTGTTATTTCCAACTCAATTTCAAGCTGTGGGATTAGAGATTCTTCTGTGAAACCAACTGTAGTTGACAAATTTGACATAGATAAGAATGAATTTGTGGATCCTTCAAAAGATGAGGTTGACACTGTTGTTACAGAAGGTGATGACAATGATGTTGTTCTTATTATGGGGTCAGATGTTGATATTGACGATGACATTAGTATTGAAGAAGTTTGAAACTGAGAATATTCCGGGAGTGGGGGAATTTCAGAAGAAATAAATGGGATTTCAGTTAAATTTCCTGAGGCAAATGAGATGTCTGTTACAGGAATAACTTCAGGAGACACAGTCATGGCACTAGATGTAAAAAAAGTTGTGGTTCCATCAAATGATGAAGTTGATTTTGTTGTTACAGCTGGTGATGTGGATGTTGTTGATTCAGTTATTGATATTGAAGATGACATTGGCGTTGAAGAAGTTTGGAACTGAGAATATTCTGGGAGTGGAATTTCAGAAGAAATAAATGGGATTTCAGTTAAATCTTCTGAGGCAAAAAGGATGTCTGTTGCAGGAACAACTTCAGGAGACACAGCCATGGCACTTGATGTAAAAAAAGTTGGGTTAGCTGTTGAAGTAGTCAAAGTTATTGGCATGATTTCATTTTTTATTTCCAATTCAATTTCAAGATCAGGGATAAGAGATTCTGCTGATAGTAATGAAGTTGTGGTTCCATCAAATGATGAAGCTGATTTTGTTGTTTCAGACTGGGATGTAGATGTTGCCGGGTCAGATGTTGATATTGAAGATGACACTGGTATTGCAGAAGTTTGAAATGGAGAATATTCTGAAAGTGAGGGAATTTCAAAAGAACTTAATGTTAATGTATTTGAATCATCTGGGGCAATTAGGATGTCAGTTACAGGGATTATTTCGGGAGAAAAAGCCATAGTGCTAGATGTAATTACAGTTGGGTTAGATGTTGAATCAGGCAAAGGTATTGAAATAAGTTCATCCTTTATTTCCAACCCAATTTCAAGATCTGGGATTAGAGATTCTGCTGATAAGAATGAAGTTGTCAATTCATCAAAAGGTAAAGTTGATTTTAGAGATGATGATGTAGATGTTGTTGTTCCTATTATGGGCACAGATGTTGACAAAGAAGATGAGGTTGGTATTGTAGAAGTTTGAAACTGGGAGTATTCCATTCCAAGCTCTGGGATGAGAGATTCTGATGTAGAGGTAGTTATATAGGAAATATTAGACATAGAGAAGATTGCTTCATTGACGTTCGAAGTTGATTTAGTAGGTGGAGATCCATCAGTTTCCCCTGAGGGAGAGTTTGATATCTCTACTGATGCATCAGTTGGCAATGTAGGTATTAATGATATGGATGATTCTGTGGTTTTTGGTCCAAGAGTTCCCAGCAGAAATATATATGATGTTTGTAAGGTTGATAATGTTACAGTAACAGGGGGTTTGTTAAAGGTAGCCTGCGTAGGGCTTATAGTTGATGATGATGTAATAGATGAAGTAAATACATCTAAACTAGATGTTTGTGTAGTAAATGTGGGAACTGAATACTCAGGCAGGTACTCATCATGCATCTGAGAAGAGATTTCTTGATAATGAGAAAAAAACTGACATAATGGGGATATTTTAACCTTTTTTTGACTGGGGTACTTAAAACCCTGTTTATTTGGGCCGGAGAATGAGGGGAGTCAAATTTATAGATTTTTTGTATCATCAAGATGATCTGCCTGATTTTCGAGAAAATTGGGCTCAATCGTAGAACTTTCATTGTGAAGATTATTCAATACTTCTTTCTCCTGTAATGTTATCTTTAAATGTAAAAATATGTCAACCTGTGATAAACAAGCAGAAGACTTAAACTGCTGTAAAATGAATAAATAAAAATAAAACATTCCTGATATTTTGTCTTTCTTTGTGTAAGATCAATCACTTGATCTGCAATCCCATTGTCAAGATACTGTTTGAAGGCGTTCATTAGAATTTAAGAAAACCATTTAATTTAAGGACTAGAAAATTGGTGTAGGAATGTCTTAATCAAAAAAATTAAAAATTTAAATCAAATCAAAATATGTTGAAACATTAAAACTCAAAGTACTTAATGAACATTTTGAATAAGAACCTTCCCATAAGGATAAATCCATTGTTTGATGATTCATGATCCAGGTGATTATGATGATACAGCTGATCATTGGATAGAAGTAAATTTGGTTCTTCATGTTTAGAATTGGCAGGAATATTTTGGATAGGAAGATGCTTGTAAGAGTCGTCGACAACTTGACTGCTCGTTTTCAACCCATTAGATTCACTTGAAGGGTCAGTAGTATGTTTTCCAGGTTTGAGGTTTTCTTGGAAAATTAATTGATATATTGGTTGGTATTCTGGAATATTTTCTTCTGATTGTATTCCATAGTTTAATTGGTCATTTTCAGGTGACAAAAATGGTTTCTCATCTTCATCTGAAACCCCTGCTTCTGTGTCAAAGATCAGGTTGCTTTCAGTCGTCATTCTTTCAGGAATATCACTTTTAATCTCTTCAGATGTTTCATGATTAACTATCTGATTCTCTTCAGCTGTTCCAGGATTCACTATCTGATTCTCTTCAGCTGTTCCAAGATTAACTATCTGATTCTCTTCAGCTGTTCCAAGATTAACTATCTGATTCTCTTCAGCTGATCCAGGATTCCCTATCTGATTCTCTTCAGATGTTTCATGATTAACTATCTGATTCTCTTGAGCTGTTCCAGGATTCACTATCTGATTCTCTTCAGCTGTTCCAAGATTAACTATCTGATTCTCTTGAGCTGTTCCAAGATTAACTATCTGATTCTCTTCAGCTGTTCCAAGATTAACTATCTGATTCTCTTCAGCTGTTCCAAGATTAACTATCTGATTCACTTCAGCTGTTCCAACATTAACTATCTGATTATCTTCAGCTGTTCCAAGATTAAATATCTGATTCTCTCCAGTTGTCACTGTTCCAAGATTAACTGATTCTGGTTCCGAATTAAAAATATTATTCTGGTAATCTGATATTCCTGATCCAAGACTGGAGATTGAATTCCACAAGATTGTTTGTGGCTCTGGAGAAGGTTTGTACACAACTACGTTCGTGTATTCAGGATTTTTGACATCAGGGCTACTCTCACTGAACCAATAAATTCATGATAAATATTGATTCAAGATTTGGAAAAAATGGATTTTTTTATATTAGACCTGATGTTTGGTGAGCTAATTATAGGCCTCCAGGGTTCACCACAGCATTTAGAAAAGTCAACAACAACAAAAAATAAAGATAAAAATTCATGCAAAATTAAAAGGCTATTTTACATGCTATATATCTACAAGAAACATAAGGAAAATGGTAGATGCTAGCAGAAAAATGGGCATGAGAAAAATGACACACAAAAATCACCCCGATGGTTTTTTTGTCAAATGGTTTATATATTAAAGAATAGAAATATTATTGATTATATTAAAGTAGTTCCTATGGGTCAGAATGATCTTAGCATTAATATAGAAAGAAGTTAAAAGGTTCATAATCGATTATCTGGTTAATTGTGGCTAAGATTTCATGACTATTGAACAAAAACTCGATTTCAATTTTAATAGAAAGAATCGATTCTTCTGGATCTTTGAGTGGTAGAAATAGAATAAGTTGTGTTCCGATTTTCAAAAATTTAAATATAATATGTGTATTTCTCAGTAGGTGAAAAGTCTCCTACTGTGGATTTTTTAACCCCCTTTTCCCAACACGGAATTCTCAACACCTGTCTAAAAATCGGATTTAAACAAAAAGAAAGAAATCTAATGTTACATAACTAACAAGAGCTTAGTCGTGTAGCTAATTGCGCCCCTGTCATCAAAATAAATAAATAAACACCTGGATTGAATTGGAGTCTATTGAACTGTCGTCTCTTGATAATTTCAAATCTCTCTCTGTCTCTCAAACTTCTCTTTGATCTTCAACAAATTTTGGATTAGAAACATGACAAGAATTTTACAAGTTTAGCAACATTATATTTGTTAAGATAAGGAAAGTGTATTTGACATTTATAAATCCTATAATAAGGATGGGGTTTAATTGGCATCAAGAACATCAATTAAAGTGTTAAAACCTCGTTAAGAACTGCAATCATTTTTACCTTCACATACAAGATAAGTTTTGTAAGGGAAAAAGTTACATAAAAAACAGTAGACCCATAGAAATGTGAAATTAGAAAACGACACTTAAGGAATCTTTCCATTGCGTAAAGTGTGTTTTTAAGTTAATTGGATTATTTAAAAACATAACTTGAGTCGATTAAAGGGAGTGACCGGCTATGTATAGTTATTAAGCTGTGTATGCAGTATTGAGGACAAAATATTTAGGATTCATTTGAGACATTTAAAACGATTCAAAGATCTATATTTACTGAATTTGAGCGCAAAGTCGACGTTCAAAATCGTAAATTTGAGTGGGTACGTTTTCAGAATTGGTTTTTTAAATTTATTAAATAACGACTAAAAAATTGCAAACAAAATTATTCAGTAAACTAATTTGTTGTTTAGGAACAGATTAAGAAAATAAAAATTAACTCTTATCAACGAAATAATTATAATATTTACATTTTAAATTTATTTAGGGTGTTAACTTCTCCATGTCATTTTCGCGGCTCTTTGAAAAAGTTGAAAGTTGTGCGGCATTATTTTCAAGTTGGCGCTGGCGGAAAAGCAAGTCAACTCAACAAATAGTTTGGAAATCTTAGTTTCAGTTTTCCGGGAATAAAGCCTCCCACCCTTGCATAAATACAAACAATTTTTGATTGATTAAGTTAGAACTGTCGTCTTCATACATGAAGATATTCAATTCAGAATTCAAATAAACAAACTTTTAAGAAATAAAGTGAACAAAAAAGTGTCGCTCTACTTTCTTTCCGCAATCTGTTCCTAAACAACTAATTAGATTACTGTATAATTTTGTTTACATTTTTTGTCGTCGTTATTTAATAAATTTAAAAAAAACTATTTTGACAACGTTCCCACCCGAATTCACGATTTTGAACGTTGACTTTGCGCTCAAACTCAGTAAATATATAGATCTTTAAGACATTTTATATGTCTCAAATGAATCCTGATAAATTTGTCTACATTACTGCATATTCAGTTCAACCACCATACATAGCCGGTCACTCCCTTTAATAAGATTTTCAAGTTTTATGGATCCCACTTCATATAAAAAAAATTCAAACCAAAGCTACAGAAGAAAAACGTCGTTTATTGTTTTCACATATCTGCAAAATTCTTAGAATTTCTAAGAAAAAATGAAAATTTTAATTTTTTTCCGTGGCCGCAAAAATCAAGTGAAAAATGAAGATAAGGCTACGCCTTACAGCTTGAAAATGTGTTCTATGCTTATTATCTTCAGCAACTTATTCTTAAATTCGTCGTAAGACTCCACATACTGTACGGGATCAATGTATTACCTGTTGATACTAGAATGTGGAAGACGGTCTGATGGCAGCATATGTTTGGAAGCAGGCGTTAAAGGAGTAGAACTAGTTATGTCAGCATCAATATTTGTCAAATCTTGTTCAGGTATTCCAGTAAGATCAGTTTTATCTTTGTTCTCCATGTTAGTGTCTCCAGGTTGGGGTTGAGTAAGGTTCATCAGAGTTCTCGGAGAGTTTTTAATTATCATCTTCTCTGTATTCAAGCCCTGAGTTAAAAATGATAAAATCAATCAAGAAATTGGATTTTTAAAGGTTACTCCAGATTAATCTTATTAGATAAGAAGTTAGAGACAATAAACTGTTAGTCCTATTCATTAAATGTATTTAATGCGGATATTGCACATTTATTATATTTGGTTCCACATGTTCGTTTATTAGAATTTTAAGAGTATCTATAAATGCAGAATAATACTGAATTTTAATGTGGTTTTGATTTCCAAGAAAGAAGAGAACATATATGAAAGGGGAAATAGGAACTAGGCAGCATATATGAAAGGGGATATAGGAACTAGGCAGCATATATGAAGAAGATATAGGAACTAGGAAGCATATATGAAAGGGGATATAGAAACTAGGCAGCATATATGAAAGGGGATATAGGAACTAGGCAGCATATATGAAAGGGTAAATAGGATCTAGGAAGCATATATGAAAGGGGATATAGGAACTAGGAAGCATATATGAAAGGAGATATAGTAACTAGGAAGCATATATGAAAGGGGAAATAGGAACTAGGAAGCATATATGAAAGGGGAAATAGGAACTAGGAAGCATATATGAAAGGGGAAATAGGAACTAGGCAGGATATATGAAAGGGGATATAGGAACTAGGTAGCATATATGAAAGGGGATATAGGAACTAGGCAGTATATATGAAGGGGGATATAGGAACTAGGCAGTATGTATGAAAGGGGATATAGGAACTAGGCAGCATATATGAAAGGGTAAATAGGATCTAGGAAGCATATATGAAAGGGGATATAGGAACTAGGCAGTATGTATGAAAGGGGATATAGGAACTAGGTAGCATATATGAAAGGGTATATAGGAACTAGGCAGTATGTATGAAAGGGGATATAGGAACTAGGAAGAACATATTTGTATAGGAAATCCTTTTGGTACAGTTTATGTGTGCGTCCACGTATACAACAAGCGGTAGGACGCAAACGGTTAAAGCTATTGGTGAACCCTTTCATCATCTTGTAAAAAATATTTTGTAAAAAATTAGAAATAAAGGAGAATTTTCATTATATTTTCCTTGTATTTGAGTTTGTGGCTGTATTTGTTGGATCCTGTTGGTTCTGAAGTTGACACATACACCTTGCTTCCACCAATACCTTCAGTTTTCAGGTCTTGTACTTTTAAAACAAAATGATT